AACTTGGTACTAGATTTTATGAGAGTGGGGAGTTGGGAGTGGGTGGTTAAAATAAATTTAATAAAATTAAATTAAATAAACAAACTGCACTATATCTCATCAAGGCCCATTCTCTATTTTACAAGGTTCTTCATTAGTATAAGGTTATTAATTTCTTATTAACCCTCATGTTCTGATACTTCATGACAATATGTTTCATTATGAAAGCTTTGTTTCCCTACAATTACAAATACCTTTCCTAAATTTCATACCATACCTTCACAATCCTACCTTTGCAGTTTTCCAATAGCCATATGATTTCTTCATAGTCTCTTGGGACCTGAATAGGACTGGTAAAGAGCATCACAACTGGAATAATAAGTTCCAACATAACAATTCCTTTGTGGGTAAAACTATCAAAACATATCAGTCTGGGAGATCTGCTGTGATTACCCGTTTCTAGAATCACTTCAAAGTGTATATGATTTAATTCTGCCTATCCAGGAGATTGCCTGTCTGATTATGAACTAGCCTAGTTACTACGTAGAGAGAGGCCCTTTTAAGGACACACGCTTTGCAAAGGCCTATTTGTCAACACATTTCAGAGGAGCTATGGCTTCTGATTTGACAAACCTCATACTTAGAAAACAGGACAGTCTGTACTAATTATCAAAGGTGTAATCAGAAACAGAACAAAACTTCTATACTATTCCACATGTTCCTCACTTGAAGATGTGTCTTAGGAACGAATGTTAAGTAGCCGTGAGATGTGCAAAACTGGTAAAATCTGCTGGGGGCAAGAATTTCTTCTTCTCCAGACTAATTTTTCTCTGTTGAGTCATTGATCTGAAGACCTGTTCAGTTTCACTCACAGTTGTAACAGAGTAACTGACATGCTATGACATGGTGTGCATAATGTATGTACCATGGAAAATTACAGCAATATGCATACAACTTACATTTTAAATTCGCATTTGCACAATTTGGAATGGATAGATATTCAGAAAATCCAGAAGAAACGTTAAGGAAATTATATTCTAGCATATAGGCTCTAACACATGCTGAAATCATCTATATGTTGCTTGGGAAAGCTAATGTACATACATAGTTCCTAGTGCCACTACATCCAATCTGACTTATTGTTTTAATTAAAAATAGTGTAAAATTGGTATTTATTTATTTTATTTTATTTATTTAATTTATATGCCGCCCAATCTCCAACGGACTCAGGGCAGCTCACAATAAAATCCACAACAACCACAGTGCAAAATTAAAATACCCAATTAAACCAAATAAAAACCCCATCAGTCCAGGCTGGGGGACTTGAATAACCAAGTTTTTAATTTGTGGCGGAAAGTGCAGAGGTCAGGGGCTAGCCGGAGCCCCAAGGGAGGTTGATTCCAGAGGGTGGGCGCGCCCACAGAGAAGGCTCTACCCCGGGGGCCGCCAGCCGACATTGTCTAGCCGACGGCACCCTGAGCAGGCCCTCCCTATGGGCATGAACCGGGCGATGGGAAGTTGTTGCTGGCTGCAGGTGGTCCGCCAAATATCCTGGGCCTAAGCCATGTAGGGCTTTATAGGTCATCACCAGCACCTTGAATCTCACCTGGAGGGCAACCAGCAATCAATGCAAGTCGCGCAGGAGAGGTGTTACATGGGAGTATCGGGATTCTCCCATCACAACCTGCGCGGCTGCATTTTGCACCAGCTGAAGCCTCCAAGTGGTCCTCAAGGGCAGCCCCATGTAGAGAGCGTTACAGTAGTCAATACGGGAGGTGACTAGCGCATGAGTAACTATGCATAGGGCATCTTGGTCCAAGTAGGGGCGCAACTGGCGCACCAGACGAATCTGGGCGTATGCCCCTGTGGTGACAGTCATTATATGGAAGTTGCATGCCCTGTTTACAGGGGGTAAAACCTCACCCCCTATAGCCAACGATGGAACCTCTCCTTTGGACCAAGATGCTGGTACCCACATCCACTCGGTCTTGGCAGGGTTGAGCCGAAGCCTGTTCCTACCCATTCAGACCCGTATCGCTTCCAGGCATCGGGCCATCACGTCGAGGGCATCACTAGGTTGGTTCGGGGTGGAAATAAAAAGCTGAGTATCATCAGCGTACTGGTGGTACTTTACCCCAAAACCACGGATGATCTCCCCAGCGGCTTCATATAGATGTTGAACAGAAGGGGCGAGAGAACCGACCCCTGGGGCACCCCACAAGTGAAGGGCCTCAAGGTTGATCTCTGCCCCCCAACACCGCTTGCGTTCAACCCAAGAGGGAGGAGAACCACCATAAAATGGTGCCTCCCACTCCCAGCCCCTCGAGGCGCTGCAGCAAGATACCGTGGTCGATGGTGTCGAAGGCCGCCGAAAGATCTAATAGGACCAGAACAGAGGATTAACCTCTGTCCCGAGCCCTCCAGAGATCATCCACCAGCGTGACCAATGCCGTCTCCGTGCTGTACCTGGGCCTGAAACCCGATTGGCACGGGTCGAGGTAATCCACTTCATCCAGGGCCAACGGGAACTGACGTGCCACCACACTCTCAACAACCTTTGCTAGAAAGCGGAGGTTGGAGACCGGATGAAAATGACTCAAAACAGCTGGATCCAAGGCTGGCTTCTTGAGGAGGGGCCTCACCACCGCCTCCTTCAAGGCGGCCAGAAAGCTTCCCTCCCATAAGGAAGCCGTTATCACCGCCTGGATCCAGCCGCGTGTCACCTCCCGAGCTGAATAAACCAGTCAGGAGGGGCACGGGTCCAGCACACAAGTGGCCACACTCAGCTTCCCCATGATCCTGTCCACTTCCTCTGGGGTAAAGGATCGAACTCTTCCCAAAGCACAGGACCCGCTGCCTCCTCACCGTCTGACTCTGTCCAGTCAGAGTCCAAGCCATCCCGAATCTGAGCGATCTTGTCCAACAGGTGCTGGCTAAACTCCTCGGCTCGCCCTCGCAGAGGGTCTTCCCTCACCCTCTGATTCAAGAGGGAGCGGGACACCCTAAACAGGGCAGCTGGGCGATTCTCTGCAGACGCGATGACATTGGCGAAGTAGCGACGCCTTGCCATCACCAACTCCACCAGGTAGGCCCGTGTGGCCGAGCTTAACTGGGACCGGTCAGATTCGGAATGACTGGCTCTCCAACGGCTCTCTAGGCCTCGCCTACGTCGCTTCATCCCCCGGAGCTCCTCGGTAAACCAAGGCGCCAACCGGGATTTGCGTCGTGTCAGAGGCCGCAAAGGAACGATCCAGTCAAGAGCCCCGGTAGCAGCCTCATCCCAGGCATCCACCACGATCGTGACTGGGGCGTGGGAGAGAGAGAGGTATCATCCCAAGCTCCATCTGGAACCTTTCCGGGTCCATCTGGCGCCTGGGACGGAACCAGATGGTCGGCTTCGCCTCCCAGTGAGGAGGGGTGGCGTACTGGAAACCCAGCCAGAGGAGATAGTGATCGGTCCATGACAGGGGATAAATAGAAGATACTCCCCCACCGAACTCCACCTGCCACTGTTCCGAGACAAAAACAAGATTGGGCGTGTGGCCCCCCTCATGTGTCGGGCCTAGAATAATCTGAGTCAGGTCCATAGCTGCCATGGAAGCCATGAACTCCCGAGCCACCCTGACGCCCCACCCAGGGACGGCAGATCGAAGTCCCCCAGACTTTTATCCAAGCTTTCAATTATAATAATAGTATGTTAGTGACCTTACATAAGCTACCTGTTCTTCTCGTAATAAGTAGACTGAAGATTAAACTAGGGCAGTAAAAGTTCTCAGATCACACTCACTATATTTTTTTGAAATATGAAATTGTAGTCCATGTAAAGTAGAACTGTGGCTTTGGGAAAATTTGGGGTTTTGTTTTTTGTCATTGCAAAACATTGCCCTTTCTGTGTCATTGGTCTCAACCTGAATCCCTGGAGTTGCTACTGGTTGCATGTGATTAAGTCAATTATTCTCCAATTATGGATCTCCAAAAAATAACTGAGATTCTCATAGGATGTTGTTTCCTTCAGAGATCTTTTCAAAACCACTAGGAAATCTAGACTTCTGCCATTTTGTCTGCTGGCTGAGACAATCCTTACAAATACATTCATCACTCATATACGTAGATAACTGAACAAATAGACAGACCCAGGCTGAGAAATCTGTGAATGGCTTTCTTCTTTCTTTTTGATCAACACAAAAAGAAAACTAGCTAAGCAGGGCTTATCCCCTTTCGTCAGCATCATAATTAAAACCAGAGTCCTTTTTAACTTAAAGAATAACTTGAGAAACTTTCAAAATATGTATTTTTCACTTCTAGTTTTCAGTGATGTAATTCTATGATTTCACAGCCAAATGATAGGCTGACTTTATTTGCATGATATATATCTTATTTTTCCATTGGATAAAAATCTCTGCTCGATCATTTCAATTGTACTAACTAGAAGATATATACCTGTTGAGTAAAACTGTAGTCAACTGAACAATAATAAGGCCATACACTAAATGTAATATATAAGGAGTGTCTGCCCCTTCATTCTTTTCCATGCATCCACACCCCTGCTGGAATAAAAATCTAAAATGTGATATCTGACAAGTGAAGGTCTTCTGGTAGTATCACATTTGAGCAGGGGTATAGACCAGTGGTAAAATCCAATTTTTTTTTACTATCAGTTCTGTGGGCATGGCTTGGTGGGCATAGTGTGGCTTGGTGGGCGTGGCAGGGGAAGGATACTGCAAAATCTCCATTCCCTCCCCACTCCTGGGGGAAGAATATTGCAAAATCTCCATTCCACCCCACTCTGGGGCCAGCCAGAGATGGTATTTGCCGGTTCTCTGAACTACTCAAAATTTCTGCTACCGATTCTCCAAAACCTGTCAGAACTTGCTGGATTTCACCCCTGGTATAGACTAGATGAAGTGGACTAGATTATATTCTTTGGTTAAAGGCAAACAGTTAAAACAGTAAGAGAGATTCCTGAAAACTGTTAAGATGTTTGATCACTGACAGATCCCTGGCAGTTTTGTTCTCACTGGTTGTAAAGTTGAGAGCAAGATCTCTTCACGTTTTACTTATTCAAATAAATAAATTATACATTCCAAAGAAGTGTACAAGAAGGTAGCTTTAGATCTCTTACAGCAGCCTTCTCAACCTGGTGGCGTCCAACCCAGAGTTGCAAATCCCTGAATTCCGGTTTGGGAATTTTACAAACTGCTGGATTCCAAACCATCTGGGACGTTTGGAACGGCTCCGCTTTGAAGTTTGGACTGAAATGACCAACCTTTAAAAAAAACAAAACAAAACAAAAACAAAAACTGTGATTCAAAAGAAAGCGAAGGAACGCATCTGGAAAGTAATTCCTAAGATAACACCATTTACAACCCGTTTTTAAGCACGTGGCCTTAAGAAATTCCTTCTAATTACCCATACTTATTGCTTTACCTACGGATACTCCAGGATATCCATTCACTTACGAGCGTTATTTGTCGGGAGTTGTGGCTGCTCGCCTTTCATTAGCAGCAGCCTGACAGAACCGCACCTCAGGATACGCATGCTACCTCCCCGTGCAGAAAGAGTTAAAAGCCTGGGAGGTTGCTTGGAATCCAGGTTTGTTTATCGTCAGTTTCTCTCTCGCTCGACAGGTTCTTCCAGCAGCAACCTCCGCTCTCCGCGCCCGGAATCTAGGCGGGGCCGTCCTTCGAACCTTGCCCGCCGCTTAAAAAGCGCAGCGCCTTTTCCGCCGCCTTCTCCCAGGCGCAAAGCCCGGCTCGAGGATATTGGTCTTAAAAGGGAACCTCAAACCACGCTTCCTGCTTTCTCTCTTTAATTCCTCGCCTGAAATCTGTCCGGGCAAAATGTTCAGGTGCGGCCTGGCCTGCTGGAGGTGCAGATGGATCCTGCCCCTTCTCTTGGGGATAGCCATCATCTTTGGCATCATTGCCTTGGCTGGCAAGGGGTGGCTGGAGTCGGCCGAAGCCCCCTACGTGCGTAAAGCCTGGTTGTGGTGGGACTGTTACAAAAACAAGCCCGACGATGTGAACTGGCTCTGCAATTCTCTCATGGACTACAGTAAGTTTTGGCGGCAAGCGGCGTGCATTGTTAAACCTACAGGGAGTTTTCTCAAGTCTTGCTTTATTCAGTCGAGGTGGGGAGGAGGGCTACGATGGTGAAAAGGTCGGAATTACAGTAAATCGAAAAATGTATCCGGGAAGAAACTTACCCGGGAGACAACAATTTGCAAAGGGCGCACCGGTTCACATTCAAGGATATAATACAGGCCTTGCTTGGAAACAAATTACATATATGGCGTCAGTTTCGCCTTTATGCAGGTAGTGAAGAGCAGAAACTGGACAGAAGAGAAGAGGGGTTAAATCATATTATCTCCAAACTTGGCAACTTTAAAATTTGTGGACTTCAACTCCCAGAATTCCCCAACCAGCCAGCCTGGCTAGAGAATTCTGGGAGTTGAAGTTTACAAGTCTTAAAGTTGCCAAGACCCCTGGGTTAAATCCTAAAGCGAGAAGTAATGGGAGATAGTGGGGTAACAGGCAGGCGACGAGGCTCTGAGATAGATTGCTCTTTGGAGGATTTTAAGATGCAATAAGTCGAATTGCAACATCAGTCGAAAATTATTCATTGAAACTAGTTTGAAAGGTTCTGGATCAAACTGGTTGCCACACCTTGTACTCATCCAAACTTGACGAGCTTTGCTCATCGTTCAATGCACAGAAGGCGAGTCTTTTGATTATATTTCTGCTCTTCATCACAAATCCTAACCTTCCGGCCAGGGCTGGAGAAGCAAATGCCCTTTGTGCTTTCAGAAGGGGTGGGAGAGTAACTATCTCTTTGCCCTGGCTTGCTGGTTGTAACTTGATACCAAATCAGCGAGTAATCTCTGTTTTTTTAGACTGAGCTGGAATTGAATTATGGCCAAATAGGGGAAGATCTGCAGCACTTTGCAAGCCTTTTGTAGTTAAGGGGAGAAAAAACATACCCAGAAGTTAACATATTAGTCTTCGTGTGATACATTAACTTAGATTTCCTCAGGTTGGTGCCTCCAGAAATGTTGGGGTGGCAATTACGAAGATTTTCAGACAGCAAAGTATACTTGGGATCCCAAAACATCTGGAGGCTGCCAATTAAAGAAGATTGAGTGTGTGTAAAATGGTGCCTTGAGAACTAATGGAATAACAAAGCATATTGGAGTTGTAGAAGAGGAATTTAGGTGCTGCCAAGCCATGTCCTTTAGAGATGTTTTTTAAAACTGTTGGTAGTCCCTGTTTTTTCCCTTTAATTGGAAAAGGCAAAGTGATAATTGCATTTGTTCCTTTATATAAAGAATAGGTATAATTTGTACTTCAAATGCAAGCTGTTTCACTTGTAATTTTTTAAAAATGCAATAGAAAGAAATGTTCTTTTTAATTCTTACCTATACTTAACTATTGTTTTGAGCTCCCAAAAAATATGTTATTTAAGCATATAAATTACATAAGCTGAGGAACCCTAACACTTACAGTTCGGTCTACTAAAGGAAATAATTTTCCCATGAACTCATTAAAAATGGGTTTCTCTAGGGAAGGAGAATAGTCTTGTGGACTAACCACACTGAAAAGGATGGGATTTAGGCCAATCATTCTTGGACAGCTGAGTCTACCTCACATACTTGTTTTGTAGATAAAATAGAGAGAGAGACCTCTACAGAAGCCAGCTTAAACGTCTGGTGGAAAGTTGAGATAACATATATTGTGCTATTAGTCATAGCTGATAATTTTATGAGGAGTGTCTAAAAATTCTGGAATGAACCCAAGTGTTCCTTTTATCCTTCCCAAACAAGTTATCAGCTGCATAGAACTTCCTGGAATCAAATTTGTCTTAACTGAACTGAAATCATGTAAAGCAAAATAAAACACAGAATTTTTGATATAAAGATTGATGCATGAAAATAGAGGCAAACAGAAACTACTATCCCAACTTCTTTTGCAACACTTGTGTTCAAGGTAGATTTGATAATTGAAATTATGATAGTAAATTGTGCCCTAATTTAGATGTGTTTAAAAGTACAGTTTAACTGCTTAACAAGTTGTGTATGTTTGGACTTTCTAAATAATTAGCTATCAAATACGGATAATGGGGAAAAGCTAGGATTTAGAATCCAGAAGTTCAGTGACTCAATTTGGAAACAAAAAAAATTAAAGAGATTTTGTATACTTGGGTACATGGAAAATATTTGAACATAGATTTATTTGTTTATTTAAATTTAGATTTTTGTGAGGGAAGCCAAACTGCTATTTCAGTTATCAATTTTTTAAAGACACAGTGCTTAAACTTTGTCCTTTCTTACAGCACTTTTTGTATATTAAAGAATATACAAAATATTCTTTATACAAAATATTCTTTATACAAAAAAATATGAAATATTCTTTTTAAAGAATATTTAGATAGAAAGATACATTCATCATTCACTGGGTATGGAATGAACATTAAATCTTTGTATTATTATGGTGTTTGCTGCATGAAAGCTAGCTAAAATTAATGTGTCACAATAAATTAGTTAATTGGTAAGGTTATTGCAAAATTTCAGTAATTACCTGAATGAAGAACTTGCTTACAATTTGTATTGTGATTTTTTTTCTTAAAAAATGAGAAAAATGTAAGAGGCATATTTAATACCTATAATGATGTTACTCAGATTAAAAATTGCAAGTAATTCATACATTGATCTTATTCCACCCTTTTGCTTAAAAGGAAGCTACCTTGGAGAAAGATCACTTGTTAATGGCAGATTTGCATCGGGTGCAAATTCTTATTCAAGATTGTACTTGTTAAGTATTAACATTGCACAGAATACAGAAAAGAGCCACTCCCTATGCATTGGGGGAGGAAGGCATTCTTTGTTTGGAATAATAATTAAATTGCAGAGTTTGTAATTCAGATTTGCTTCAAGATTAAACTAGATGTAACATGGAGTCCTATATCTTTTCCCAATATTTTTTTTTTGCATTAAAGAATAGCTCCTCCCCAAAAGCTGTTTGTCACAGAAATTAAAATGTAGGAAGACTGAACACATGAGGAATAAACCTTTTATTTTTAATACTGTGGCTGTCCTCTCCAGATGAAAAATAGAAAAAAACTACAATCACTTTTTCTCATAGAATGAAAGGGATATAGATTTGTAATGGTATCTCATCCCATCCCATCCAATCCATCACTTTCCAGGCACAAAATAGGTAAAGAAAGCCATGCTTATTCACAAGATAGATAAAGAAAGCCATGGTTATTCATTTCTCCTGCTTCTCTGCTCTTCCACAAATCTAAGGAAATGTCCCCTAATCCTCTAGAGCAGATTTGTTTGGAAAACTGAAAAGTTATGGCCCTTACATGGCTTTTCCCTCAAATAAAACAGGTTGTGTACAAAACCTCTTCTTTCGATCTTTTAACAATTGTCAAAAATTTCATCAACAATACTAATTGCTAATTGAGGGGTCCTTGGCACTCTTTGAGCTTAGTTGTTTTCTGATGGTGCACTGATGATGTTACTTAGGTTTGGTAATGAAACGTCTGCAAGAAAACAACCAAACTCAGAGAGCACCAAGGACCCCTCATTTCAAACCTGAGATATAAATATTATCCTCTATTGCTAATTGCTTTTTAAAATGTGCAAGTGTCAGAGTGGCATTAGAACCCTATGATTAGCAACACAACTGAAATCCAGTATGAAAAGGTGGGTCCCATCAGCAAAGATTATAAAATGAAATTGTAATTAACTGTTGACTGAATTTTACAGGAGAGATGTCATCATAAACTTTTCTAATCACCTTTTCTGATCAAGGTCAGGCCTACATAATCTGACTTGCTGTATTTTTTACTCTTAAAAAAATAGTTTGTTAGAGTCATTATACAGTAGCTGTAAATAATGATTCCTCAGCCAACAATCATAGGTAAGGGATTAGGAGTAAACTACAGGATCTCTCTCTCTCTCTATTACTGTATGGTTTTTCTTCCTCTTTCCATACCGGATAATACTATCTTTAATTTTAATTCTGAATTTAAAAACTGCTTTCTTTTTTCCTTTAATGTGCAAAACTATTGAACCATTGAATGACAAAGGGGGTCAAATATAATTAAAAGAGGATTTTTTCACTGCAAAAAGTACAATATACATATGACAAAACTAACATTTTCAGTAAGAAATTAGGGATTTATGATAAATAGAGATGACATCAGATTAAATTCTACTTAGTAAGATGGAAAAAAATGATTTAAATAAATTAGATATGGTGATCTGAAAAATTTTTAAGATTGGTCCCTCAAGAAATGGGAATGAGCAAGTATGGCACCAAATAAAGGGTATGTTTGACACTGAGATAATCAAGTGGTTAAAACTAGATTTAAGATTCATAAACAGGTGAATTCAAGTACTCTTGGTCAACAAGTAAATGCTGTGTCCACTTTTGGTTGCTACAGGTCAAAAAGGATAGTGATGTTTTTTCTCATAATGGAGGATAGTAAACAGTGGGTTAATCCAAGAATCTATAATCAGATGAGTACTATGATTTGTTCATAAATGTTTTGGAAGTGACCAAATTGTCTGAGGATCAAGAAGAGAAACTAGAAAATCCCAAAATAATGTCTTCAAATCTGGAGGGTGAACAAATGTAATCTGGTTAAAGTATTACATATGGAAGGTTTTAAAAACGTTACATTTACATTTGTAAGGTTGTAAGCAAGGGATTACTAACAGAGAGAGATTTCTTGGAATTACAATGGATAAAAATGTTGATTTAGTGCAGTCTTCCCCAATGTGACCAATCTGACATGAAGTCTGATTGAAAAGAGAAATTAGAGACACATCAAGCTAAACTGTGCTAGTATGGTTGAGATGCTGGACTTGGGCTATATCTCAACCATTCTAGCAGTTTAGCTTGATGTGTCTCTAATTTCACGTCCCTTTTGACCATGTAGATTAACCAACTTCTTTTAAAAATGCAGTGGGGGGTGGGATGTCTTGAGCAGGGAGAGAAAAAGCTGTTAATAGAAGATAATCAACCAAATTCAGGCATACCTGTTATAAAAACTGTTGATTCTTTGTAGAGATTTGCAGTTGTGTCAGATGAAAAGAAGGATCATAATATTTAACAGATAATGCCTTTAACAATAAAAGCAAGATTCTGCTCAGTTCCTTCAATCAATATTTTTCTAAGCTTACATTTAATTTATACAAAATGTATATATTTACATATAAGGTATATATGTTTATCTCTTTTTTTTCCCCAAAGGTTGGGGCAGAGCTGCTGCTGCTACATATCTTGTCGGTTTTGTCATCCTCTGCATCTGTTTCTGCTTAGCAGTCATAGCATTTTCCATTGATATATTGCGGTTTAACTTTGTTCGAGGAATTGGTGGTTTGCTGTTCGTTGTTGGTAAGCCTGTAAATAAGAGAACTGATTTTCTGACCAAGTATAATTGTTTGTGATTTTCCCAAAGTATGTTTCTCTCTAGAATATGTTAAAAAAAAAATTTTCTTAGCTCTTTCCTCCTCTTGTACAACTTTTCTTAGATTTCATATTAGCAACAAACAACTGTCCAGACTCAATCAGGTCTCAATCAGCTTTCTTAATTGAAGCTAGCCAGCATTAAGCCATCATTTAGTTTCTAATTTGTCTTCCCCAATTTTATTTTTTAATAGGCAAGTATCTTCATTTTTGGAGAAACTTTTATATATATGTATGTATGTATGTATGTATGTATGTATGTATGTATGTATATATTTAGAACATTACTGTATTATTATACATGTATTATTAAAGATATATCACATGAGTTTTTATTTGCATAAATTTGCAATTGCATTAATTTGCAAAAATATATTTAATACATAAATATATTCCCTTCTATATTGTGGACATAATATAACTTAATCTCTCCAAAATATTTTAACAAAAAAGCTCCTAGGATTATATTTAGTAAGTTAGTTCTGGTTGAGCTACAGCTAGCTTGAGAATCATTTATAAAACTTCATACAATTTGGTTTCTATAGTTTGGGTTTATTGTCTTGCATGAATTTAGGGTGATTTGTGAAGCATAGTTTATAGATTACTATACTGTGAAACTTTATCCAATCATGATTTATTACACTCAGAAACCATGAGGGTAGTGCAGAAACTCAACTAGACCCTTCATCTGGAACTCACACCCTTCAGTATTTTTATTAATGATTTGGGGGAGGTGGTGGAAGGAATGCCAGCCAGACTTGCTGAACATAGAATTAGGCACGACTGTTAGTATCCTTAAAGATGAAAGCACAAATCAAAATTATTTTAATACGTTAAGTCAAGTTTAGCAACTTCTTAGAATTGGAAGTTGTAACTCAACCTTCAGGTTTTTGGAAGGCTGCAGGATACAGTTGAGGAGGGTAGGTTTTCTGGCTTATTTTGGCATGTATGGGGCATTAAGAGTGGGAATGGGAAAGGCAAAACACTGCTATTCCCACATTTCGCCCTCCCTTCAAACACAACATCCAAAATTGTGTCTCACAGTCTTGAAGAACTGCCCATGGATTGCCACCACCACCCGCCCCCCAGGGTAGAAAGCGGAGTTGGAAACAAAAGAATAAAATTAGGCAGAAGCAAATGCACTTTGTCACAAGAAAAAAAAAAATCAGAGGTGCACAGGAGAAACCTGGTTTAGTAATATTGTATGCAAAAAAATTAAAATTGCAGTTGATCATGCTTAGAATATGCATGGTTGCAGAGAGTCAAACATGGTTTTAAGTTTTATTAATAGAAATTTCCCAAATCATAGGTTATGAGTTCCACCCTATTCTGCATTAGTCATAACCATTCTTGAACATCTGGCCAGTTCTGGGTGCCATAATTGAAGAAGAAGATTCAGACAAATTTTCACAGTTACAAAGAAGGCCAACATGATTATAGAATTGAACATTTCAGTGAGAAAATACATGAAACACTAAATATATTAACCTCTGCAACAACAATAGCAGAAAGTTCCCAAATGTATTTGGAGGATTTGGTAGCAATCAAGTATCTGAGAATATTACACAGCAAATAACCATGATTTTTATTATCCCAAAGTGTAAGATATTTAACAATGCTCTGAAGTTATAGAGAGGCGGTTCCAATGGAAAATTAGGGGAAAACTTCTTAAAAGAAGTGATTGGACAGTGAGTTTTAGTTGTGCTGGATTCTTGTTTTGAGAAGAAGTATGTCTAATGCCTCCTAATTCTGTGATGATGTGTATAACAGGTGTATCACATTAATATTCATTTGTCTGATTGCTATACACAATAACATAGGGATGCCTCATACATTGTGTGTGATGGATGTTTCCCATGATTAAGGAATTTTTTTACAAGTAATTATCAACAGTAATTATCAACTTTATTTGATAGCAAATAAAGTCAATAATATAAAAATTTTCCAAGTGTTTGGCAAACAGACTTGAAAAATCTTAATTATTGGTAAGACCAATTATTGGTCTTGCCAAGAATTACAGAGGTACGTCATTGAACACTGGCAGAGTTCTGTCATCTCTCTTGTGCAGGATGATTCTCTCTAGATTAGATTGCCGCAATCTCAACTCCATTTTGTGAGATAGCATGCAGAGAAAGAATGTTGAAACTTTAGAGATTTAATTAGGAAATTTAATATATATACATATAAATGATTATAATTACGGTAGATACTCTAGTCTTGTACTAGATCAACAATACCTCATTATTCAATCAATCAATTTGTAAAGCCACCAATCTCAAGTGATTGGGCCACAAATATATGAAATAAAAAATACAATTGCAATGTATTGTTACAATGTAATAATTAAAATGCATGCAGCCAAGGAAATAATCCAGTCAACAAATGCTAATGCAGCAGGAATATGAATCCCTTCATACACTTGAGACCCCAATTCTGGGCACAGAGACAAGTCTTTAGGACTTTACAAAAGGCTAGCAAGGTTGAGACCATCCTAATCTCTTCTAATGTAAATACAGTTTGCTGCAAATTTCTGTGTGGTGTGAGATTTTATTTAATGCCTTTCTTTCCTCCTTGTTTCCATCCAGCTGCTTTCCAGATCTTAGGCTTGGTCATCTACCCAGTGAAATACACCGAAGATATTAGTTTGTCGGGAAGCAACATGTTCAGCTGGGCTTATGGTTTTGGTTGGGCAAGTACAGTGATTGTGATAGGTTGTGCCTTCTTTTTCTGCTGTCTTCCCAATTGGGAAGATGAAGTCCTGGGTAACATAAAACCCTATAGGCATGATGGCATTTAACCAGTTTGATGTGGACTTTATAGAAGATACTTTTAAGAAATAAAGCAATATTGTTTCTGACATAGATTTATTTGTTCGTTTGTTTGAATAACAGTTTATTTTTAGACATTCCCGTTTTCAGACTTACTTTATTAAAAAAAGAGATTGCATTCTGAATTTTGTTAACTAATAATAATTCCTTTCAGGAATTAATTGTTTTTGGTAAAGGACAGAAGCTTTGGTGAGGTGATTTATTCTAAGATAATATTTTACTGAATAAATATGTAAGGGCTTTTTTAAAACTGTCAAACAATTTTTGTTTTTAGCCTGTGGTTCAAAATCCTTATCCAAATATGTATTAATAAAAGAATTTTTGAAAATATAGTTATACATTCAGTATACAATCTTCTAAGCATTAGATTCTGTTAATATTATTTTACTGGCATTTCTGTTATAGTAATGCTTCATAGCTTACTTGATACTAAATGAATTAACACTATAGTATTCTGTGTGTGCAGGTTTCCCGTGTTAAAGAATTTATGTGACAGCTTCCCTTCCCCCCATTATTGGATGCTTCTAGACAAGGTTAGGTCTGCTCCATTCAGATAATTAGGGTAGAGAAATTAGCTGTTTTGTGGTTTTTCTGATCCTCCACTCTCATTAAAGAAATCTCTTGAGAGAGAATGCATAAATGCCACTGGTAGTAATGCCCACAATTTTCCATCTGAATTTACCTGCATACTTCTTAACATTTATATATTGAATATGTCTCATAAATTTAAATTAGGGAGAAGGTAAAACTTTCGAGTTATACTTTTCAATTTCCTTTCTCCTCAATATCTGACAACTTTATTCTCAGTATATAGATTTAAAGCAAAAAAAACAAACAAACCCCAAAACCAAATAACTATTAGATGGCAAATTTATTAGGCAAAGAACCATAGCTGGTTTATTGGATAGTTGCCGTTAGAAAGTGCTTTACTGCTGCCGATCTTCTCCTCCCATTTTATCATGACTACACCCCATATGCGTATTTTGCATTCAAATGGCATTGAATCAAAGGATGGATAAAGATAGCGCCATGTATGGTTGATTTTTCAAGGTTGTTAAACTTTTGGATAAGGTTCTGCAGGATTAGTTACTTGGGAGTGAAATAATAGTAGTAGACTTGCCTTTCCAAATTTAAGCATATATACAGCATAGCTCACAGATAGGCAGTGTGATGTCTATGGGTGCAGAGAACCTTAGGACGACTCCAGTGGGGCTAGTCAGGCTTCTACAGCATTGGACTTTATTTTTTTAACTAAAATATATGGAATGCTTGCATGCTGTAAAACAAAATGCCAGTCCGTGACGTATTTATTTACAAGAATACCTATGGATCTCACATAGAATCCCCAGTGTTCCAAAATAAAAGTGGTACTTGGGTGTAGGTTTAGCAAGAGAAAGACAATGAAAAATTGCAGCAGTGCAAAGCATTTGTGAAATGGGTTAGGGCAGGGGTCAGCAACCTGCAGCTCTGGAGCCGCATGTGGCTCTTTCACTCCTCTGCTGCAGCTCCCTGTCACTCAAAATATGCGTCACAAGCTCCAATGTGCGACACCCGCCGGCACACGATTTGTTGAGCTTTTTAACCCCCGGTAGGCCAACCATGGATAAATCCAAGAAAAAAGAAGTTTCAGAAGAAAACAGAACATTTAATTCAACTACATATGGTAGTTTTGTGGCTGCTCAAGAAACAGGCACGGGAAGGATTTTGTGGCTCCCGGTGTTTTCTTTTCTATGGGAAACAGGTCCAAATGACTCTTTGAGTGTTTAAGGTCACAGACCCCTGTGTTAGGGAGTTAGGGGAAATAATCATGTCACATTGCCTTTTTAAAAAAAATTTCTGTGAGTTGCTGCCTAGTTGTCAACACACACTGTGGTAGCCATTGTGTAAACAGATATGGCTTTGGCAGTCAGAATATCCAGATTCCTACAGTACACATTCAGAATCCCAACACTATGGATGTTTAGTCAACAACAGGACACAGACTTCAGTCATTCTTAATCTTAAATAAACATAGAGAAGATTGCAGAGAATTTAATATCATTAATCTCAATAGGAAAATTAAATAATCACCAAAAATATTGGATAGAATCTGTGACTGGAATATGTGAAAACTTTAATTTACATTAAGATATTTTAATATCATTAAATCCATTGTTAACCTGACAGACCTCTGAATGTACGTTACTTTAAAAAAAAAAAGTTTATATACCATATATTTTGTATCTTTTGGTAGAAGCTTATTTTGTATTTGCAGAAATATTGTATATTCTAATGTATAATTTCAGATATGACTGTTTTTGTATGTTTACAATTATTCACAAAGGTTATCCGCACACTACTGCATGAATTAATTAATAAAAGTTGCTTAAGGTACAGAAGAAATTTTCATGTGAATCCACATTGTTTAAAGTTGTGTTGTATTTTATACTGTATTGGATTGTGATAGAACAGTGGTCTTATGAAATGTTGCCTATGTGCTCTGTAAATATTGCAATCTACAATTGAAGACAGAAATCTTCCATCCCTTTTTATGGAAATAAGTCCATTACCTTTAATAGAATTTGCTTTTTCTGGATAAATAAAAGTAGGTTTGTTTTGGTAAAAATGAGAAGTTTTTAAAGAAACTGATAGAATAAACAATGTAACCAATTTAATAAGGGTATTTAATCCATACACCTGAAGTTCCTTAAACTCATGTTTACTTGCATCATCAGCTAAAGGCAGAATCCAGCTATTACTAATATTCTATCATTTTGTGAGTAATAAATCAATAGCAAACATTAGTGTTTTCCCGAAAATAAGACCCTGTCTTATATTTTTTTGAACCCTGAAATAAGTGCTTGGCCTTATTGCCATGCGCTCAAAATCCCGGTTGGGCTTATCAGGGGATGTCTTATTTGTGGGGAAACAGGGTAAGTGTGTACATATATTCCAACATTTTGAAGTCATATATTTAAATAGGCATTTGGAGTCTACATGTTTCATCTCTATAATAAAAAAATATAGATAAATTATATTGAGAATACATTGGTGAAAAGTTTTAATTGTTTGGAGCATTAGTTATAGGCTTGTGTTCTAGCCAATTAGAAGTGGGACTAAATAGACTGCCTTACTCAGGTTTATCAAGAAATTATAAATCTACTTCAGCAATCTTCCTACTGAATAAAAGGAGATTGTAATTAAATTAAATTTTAAATGGGATTTTATTATAATTCCCTTTTAAAAAAGAAAACACACATTCCTGCTTGGTGACATGACAACTTATTTCCTGAGAGAAAATGACAAATCCCTTAGTTAAAGTACAATGTTTTCATAAAATATGTGTTTAAATTCTGAATTACTAGGCATTACCTAGTAGTGCCTTTAAAAGTCACATTCATTACTCCAGCTGTGCAGACTTTCAATTATAGCATGTAATCCATCCAGGTAGGTTTTTATTTTACTGATAATAGAAAAATAACTAGTATTTAAATCTATCAAATTTATTATCTGTCTTTATAGCTTTCCTTTCTTCAGTGGAGCTGAGAACACACATTTCTTCCATATTATGTGATGTATTAAACACTTGAATAATTTTTATTTTATTTTATTTTATTTTATTTTGAATTTGTATACCGCCCTTCTCCCTGAGGACTCAGGGCGGTGAACAGCCAAGTAAAAACATCAAATACAAATATTAAAATACAGTTAAAATATACATATATAAATTTGGCCCCATTAATTAAAAACAATAAACAAAACAGTTAAAAACACTTTAAAAAAATTAGGCCAGCCCGGCTTGCTGGAAAAGGAAGGTTTTAAGGGCACGGCGGAAGGCACCGAGGTCTTGGATTCTCCTTATCTCTGGAGGCAATTGATTCCAGAGGGTAGGTGCCCCCACAGAGAAGGCCCTCCCCCTGGGGGTCACCAGCCTGCACTGTTTGGCTGATGGCACCCCGAGGAGGCCCTCTCTGTGGGAGCGCACGGGTCGATGGGAGATCGTCGGTGGCAGCAAGCGGTCTCGAAGATAGCTAGGCCCTATGCCATGGAGCGCTTTAAAGCTGATAACCAACACCTTGAAGCGCACCCGGAAGACCACTGGGAGCCAGTGCAGCTCGCGCAGGAGCGGTGTTACATGGGAGCGCCAGGCTGCTCCCGTCACTACCCGCGCTGCTGCATTCTGGACCAGTTGGAGCCTCCGGGTGCTCCTCAAGGGGAGCCCCATGTAGAGAGCATTGCAGTAGTCAAGGCGAGAGGTGACGAGGGCATGAGTGACTGTGCACAGGGAATCCCGATCAAGAAAGGGCCGCAACTGGCGGATCAGGCGAACCTGACAAAAGGTCCCCCTGGTTACAGCCGTCAGATGTTCCTCCAAGGACAGCTGCCTATCCAGGAGGACTCCCAGATTGCGAGCCCTCTCTGTGGGGGCCAACGACTCGCCCCCAATAGTCAGTGATGGAGTCAACTGACTATATCGGGATGCCGGGAGCCACAGCCACTCAGTCTTGGAAGGGTTGAGCCTGAGCCTGTTCCTCCCCATCCAGATCCGCACAGCCTTCAGGCACTGGGACATCACTTTAAGGGCATCGTTGGGGTGGCCTGGGGTGGAGATGTACAACTGGGTGTCATCAGCGTACTGGTGGTATCTCACCCCAAAGCCACGGATGATCTCGCCCAGCGGCTTCACATAAATGTTGAACAGGAGGGGCGAGAGGACCGACCCCTGAGGCACTCCACATATAAGAGGCCTTGAGGTCGACCTCTGCCCCCCTGCCAACACGAACTGCGACCGGTCGGAGAGAAAGGAGGAGAACCACCGTAATACGGTGCCCCCCATCCCCAACTCTTCCAACCGGTGCAGCATGATACCATGGTCGATGGTATCAAAAGCCGCTGAGAGGTCTAACAGGACCAGAACAGAGGAACAACCCCTGTCCCGAGCCCTCCAGAGATCATCAACCAACGCGACCAATGCCGTTTCCGTGCTGTGTCCAGGCCTGAAACCCGACTGGAACGGATCTAGATAGGATGTTTCCTCCAAGAATTGTGGAAACTGTCGCGCGACCACACTCTCAACAACCTTCGCCAGGAAGCGAAGGTTGGAGACAGGACGATAGTTGGCCAATATTGCCGGATGCAGAGACGGCTTCTTGAGGAGAGGCCTCACCACCGCTTCTTTCAAGGCGGGGAAGTGACCCTCACTCAACGAAGCGTTGATAACACCCTGGAGCCAGCCTCGTGTAACCTCCCGGGAGGCCAGTACCAACCAGGAGGGACACGGGTCCAGTAAACATGTGGCCGCACTAAGTCTCCCCAAAATCCTGTCCACATCATCCGGAGTCACAGCATCAAACTCCTCCCAGGTAACATTCTCAAGACTATTCCTCGTCACCCTGCCCTGATCTACCCAGTCAGAGTCCAAATCCCCCCGGATCTGAGCAATTTTGTCATACAGGTATTGTCCGAAATCCTCCGCCCTGCCTTCCAAGGGATCCTCCCGCGCTCCCGGATGGAGCAGGGAGCAGGTTACCCTGAACAGGGCGGCCGGACGATTCCCTGATGACGCAATAGAGGCGGAAAAGTAGTTAAACTCTGCCGTCTTTATCGCCACTAGGTAGGTCTTAATATGCGACCTTACCAGTGTTCGGTCAGATTCAGCGAGACTGGCCCTCCAACCGCTCTCTAGGCGTCTTTTCCGGCGTTTCATCTCCCTCAGCTCCTCGGTGAACCAAGGAGCCGAGAGGGATCGACACCGGGTCAGAGGCCGCAAAGGCACGACTCGATCCAAGGCCCCACCAGCCGCCCGATCCCAGGCAGCTACCAGGTCCTCGGCCGAGTCGTGTGCCAGATCTTCAGGAATTGGCCCAAGCTCCGCCTGGAACCTATCAGGATCCATCAGGCGCCTGGGGCGGATCCATCTAATTGGGTCCGCCTCCCTGCGGCGGGGTGTAGCGGTTCGAAGGTCCAGACGAAGGAGTGAGTGATCTGACCATGACAAGGGTTTCATGTCTATATCCCCTATAATAAGACCACTCAACCACTGGCCAGAGACAAAAATCAAGTCCAGCGTGTGTCCCCCCCTGTGAGTGGGGCCATGAACTAACTGGGTCAGGTCCATGGCCGTCATGGAAGCCATGAACTCCCGAGCCATCTCTGACGTTTCACCAACGGACGGCAGATTGAAATCACCCATGACCATAAGCCTGGGTGTATCAACTGCCACCGTGGCTATCACGTCGAGTAGCTCGGGCAGGGCCGTTGCCACGCGGCAGGGAGCCAGGTACGTAAACAGCAAGCCCATCTGAACCCCATGACCCCATCTCACAAAGAGGGACTCACATCCGGCAATCTGTGGCACAGTGGTTTCCCTCGGACCCAGACCTTCGTTAATAATAACCGCCACCCCCCTCCCCTCCCCTGGGCCCTCGGCTGATGGAATGCTCTGAAGCCTGGTGGACACATCTCAACCAGAGGGACCCCTCCCTCCGGGCCCAACCAGGTCTCCGTAATACCCGCCAGGTCCGCTCCCCCCTCTTGAATAAGATCGTAAATGAGGGGGGCCTTATTTACCACGGACCTGGCGTTGCACAGCATCAGCCGGAGGCCCAGGACCTGAGTATCTGAGCCACCTAGTATCCGAGGGGAGCCTTGAGGACCGGGGCATGCAATCGCTCTCAAGTAGCGAGTGCGCACCCCCGGCACAAGATAAGGTCCTCTGCTCCCGCCATATCTGCCCCTCCCATCCACCGTGCTGATGACATCCCCAATCCCTCGTCCTGCGCCCTCCAGACCGTTACCCTGTGCCAGGCTGGGCCCTGACCTAGGTGGATTACCCCCCCCATCCCCTTTGGTCACCCTCCCAGTTCCCCTTAAAAGATTATTAAAAACCCTAATTAAAAAACCCCTCAATCCCCGCTTTAAAACATGCCACCTCTCGGGGCTCCAAAGCCCGTCCTTAAGGTAGGCCTTCGATAGTGTGGAAGGCCATCGCCGCGAGAGGGGGGCATCTCGCAGCGCAAGCAAATCTGCCGAGGTATAAGCCATACAAGTATGATAATCAATGTTATCCATGGCTGAACAGAGATTTTAATCTCAATCAATATTCAGACCTTTATTTCATACCAGGTCTTGGTTAAAAATAGACTAATGTTTCAAATATATTTTAATTTTCATTCCATTGGAGCTTCCATTCAAGTTGGTATGATTAAGGCTGTAACCCAAGCCCCCTAAGGAAAGGGTGTGACATGGAATCTGCCTTCTTGCAAACCATAGTTCTTTCATAGCTCAAAACAGTTTTTGGTATTTGGTATTATTTTTAACAATAAAGGTGGGATCATGTACTAGGAGCAAAGTGAAAATAAATGAAGTCTTCGACTTATGACCACAATTGAGCCCAAAATTTATGTTGCTAAGTGAGAT